TGTCTTCAAGGTTCATCCACGTTGTGGCGTGTGTCATAACTCCCTCCCTTTTTAAGGCTGAGTAGCATTCCATCGTATGTATTCGGCACCTTTTGTTTATCCGTTCATCCCCTGATGGACACTTGGGCTGCATCCATCTTCTGGCGATTGTGAATAATGCTCCTCCGAACACGGGTGGACAGCAGTTATTTTTAATGGAAAAAAATAGAATAAAAATGCCAGATTGTATCACGCCTAGTGAGGGTAAGCAGTGTTTGGTAAAACTTTTATTCCCCTCACATACATGAATGTCTGTACAGCGTTCCCGTGGCAAGCGGTGCTGACAGACCCTCCCCCAAACCATTCTGTTGTGCTCGTGGATCGCGTGGAGGAGAATGTGGCCTGACGCACTGGGGATGGCTTGTCTCTGCTCCGTGCTGTCTGCAGCCCCGGCTGGGAGGAGTTTAGTTGAGTCACTTGCTGCCTGGCCTCCAGAATCATCGGAAGGCGTCTTCATTCATTCACGTCTCTTGACTGATGCTGGCCGGAGCCCCAGCCAGGTTGGTGGCTGGAATATTGACACAGCGGTCTCCGAATGGGGCAGTTTGAGCTTCCTCACAAAGTGGCAGCTGGGTCCCAAGGCTGACGTGCACGGCATTTCTGTGACTGAGTCTCGGCAGTCATGTGATGTCATTTCTGCTGCATTCTGTTGGCCTCGCCAGTCACAAAGGTTGTCTGGGTTCAAGGGGCGGGGTCAGAGACGTTGTCACTCCATCAAAGGACTGTCACGGTCACACCGTCAAGGTCACAGACAAAGGATTGTACGTAGAGCCTGGAGGACGGGACACACGGTTGAGGCCTCTTTGGAAACTACAACCTTCCCCCCCCCGGTTCACAGTGTGAAACATATTTCTTACTGCACTTTGTGGTAAAAGAAAGTTCGGGAAAAGTCTGTGCTCAATATTGCCCATGCTGTGGGTAAACCATCACTATTCCGTCAGGCTGTTTCGATACACATTTGTGTCCAGTTTTTCTCGGTTGCAGAAATGCTGCTGCCGTGGGCTCTCTGTCCACGTCCCCATGTGTGGCTGAGGTCCAGTGAACAAAGAGGATTGAGGGAGGAGGTGAAGTGAAGAGCGTTAGACAGGGGCCAGCCATGCAGGCTTTAGAGGCCACAATGGGGAGTTCCAGGTTTCTTCCAAGGCAATGGGGAGCCATGGGAAGTCTTTGAGCAGAGGAGTGGTGGATGTGATTGATGATGCTCCTCTGGCTGCTGAATGGGAAAGACATTGAATGGGTCAGCATGGAGAAGCAGGAAGAACCCTTAGGAGGCAGAAGGGGCCATGTGGTCCCTGATATGCCTTGGCCTCAGGGCCTTTGCTGTTACCATGTCTAGAACTTTCTCCCCAGGATCTTTACATGGTGGGCTCTTTCTTGTCATTGTCATGATGTTTAACTCACTGGCCACCTGGTTTGCTCCTTGGACCTTCGAAGAGATAGGAAGTGAAGTAGAGATGGTCCCTGAAGTGGAACAGCACCCAGTCTTGTAGGTGAGACACACCCAGAATTATAACGGAGGAAAGAGGAAGAAAGTGCTGAGAATCAGGCTGATGCACAGTCAGGTGCGAGACTTCTGAGCCGCAGTTTCCTACCAGACCAGGGCGTCTGGGAACCTCCCTAAGAAACATCAGCCTCGAAGTGAGAGTAGGTCCTCTCCTGTCAGACCCACCCGGCTGAGCTTCAGCCGCTGGCCAGGGCTGTGCAAATTTCTGTCATATAAACCACCGTCTGTATGACTTTGTTATGGAGGCCCTCACAATTAATACAGCACTTCGTTCCTTTTTACAGTTGAATGATATTCCATCATAGGGATTTTTTTTTTTTGTATTAGCAGTGATAGATAAATGACAAGCAATAGGATATGTTGGAGGATATGAGGAAGCCATTTGGCTTAAAACCAACTCAATCTCACCTTGTTTTTCCAAAAGGGCCTGATGCAGCCTGTTGAGCACGCATTGTACATCTGCTTTAAACACTTACTGGGGGCTGGCCCGGTGGTGCTGCGGTTAAGTGCGCATGTTCTGCTTTGGTGGCCCGGGGTTCACTGGTTCGGATGCCGGGCGTGGACATGGCACCGCTTGGCAAGCCATGCTGTGGTAGGCGTCCCATGTATAAAGTAGAGGAAGACAGGCACGGATGTTAGCTCAGGGCCAGTCTTCCTCAGCAAAAAAACACCAATGCTTGGGTCTCATCCCCAGAGATTTCAGTGTAATTGACCTGGAGCAGGGTCTGGGCATCCATTACCCAATTAGAAGTGACTCTAAGGTGCAGCCAGGAATGAGAACCACTGATACAGAGCAAACTCCCAGAGAGAGGAAGCACAAAAAGCCAAGGGCAAAAGAGTCATGTTGCAGAACGTTCTTTGCAGTACTGTGATAGTTCAAAATTGGATGATGGAGAAATAAATTTGGGGTATACATGTGCAGTGAAATACTCTTCAGGAGTGAAAACGAAGGGACATGAAGGACAGATGAAAGTTAAAAGGATGTATACATTATGATACCATGTATCACTAAGTTTACAATGAAACAATTTTATGTATCTTTTCTGAATGGATACATATGTAGTTTTGCTACATATAGAGGCATGGTTTTTTGTTTGTTTGTTTTGTTTTTTTTCCCCCGAGGAAGAGTGGCTAACTGTTGCTAATCCTCCTCTTTTTGCTGAGGAAGGCTGGCCCTGAGCTAACGTCCATGCCCATCTTCCTCTACTTTCTACGTGGGACGCCCACCACAGCATGGCTTGCCAAGTGGTGCCATGTCCGCACCCTGGATCCGAACCGGCGCACCCCGGGCCACCGAGAAGCAGAACGTGCGTGCTTAACCGCTGTACCACCGGGCCGGCCCAGGCATGGAGATTGTAACTGGCCAATTCAGGGATTAGGGACAAGTACAGAGCCAGTTTCTGACGCATCTGTAATCTTTGATTTCTTCATTGGGGTAATGAGTACAGAGGTGTTTGTCATATTTTTATCTATACTTACTTGAACACCTGAAATCATTCCCTTAAAAAGCAAAGGTAAGAACAAGGATATACAATATTTTCATTGTTTTTCTTTTCTTTTTTCTTGATCAAAGCAATCTTTAAACTCTAAAGTGAAGCCTCCCCCCATTTCGTCTCCTATTTCCATCCTCCCCAACAAGAAAATCCTGCTGCTCGCACACAAAGTAACCTGTAGCTGTGAATGCTTACCCCGCAAAAGGTCAGCTCATAATAGACACCCCGTTCTGAATTTTTTCAAGCCTCATTTTTCTTGGATAACTTTCCATGTGGAAACTGAGGGCGCGTCCCAGCCCTGTGCAGCTGAGTAGCAGGATGGCATTAAGCCTGGTGAGTCTGGAGGGAGAGAGACGGGGGAGACGAGGGTGGGGAGGCGACGGGAGTGGGCAGGGCGAGGCCCCGCGGGCTGCAGTGCGGACTCGGGCTGTCCCCCGGGGAGGTGCAGCCCTGGGGGGCTCTGAGCGCAGGAGGGACGGCCGGACCCAGGGGGTCACAGGCGCCCGCTGGCTGTGCGGGGAACAGACTTTGGGGGGAGGAGGCGGGAGCTGGGGGACCCGGGTGGAGGGCCTGTACTGGGCCAGGTGGGAGATAATGGGGGCCGTGTCCCCAGGTGGGGGACGAGGAGCGAGTGAGGAGTGGGCGCATTCTGGGGAGATTCAGAAGCTGAGGGGACTTGCTGTCATATCAGGGGGTGGGGTCAGAGAAAGGGCGGGGTCAAGGATGCTGCGAAGTTTGGGGCCTCAGGACCTGGCGGGACGGAGCTGCCATCAGCTGGGTGCAGAGGACAGCGGGAGGGAGGGTGAGGGGGCGCTCAGGGGCTTGGATGCGGGAGCCGCCCGCGCCCCTCGGGCGGGGTGGGGGGAGGTCGTGAGGGCGACAGGTGCCCCCGGCACGGCCGCCTGCAGCCCCGAGAGTGGCCGCCAGAGGGCGAGCGCGCCCCATCGCCGCGGCCTCCGGGGGCGCGGGAAGGACCCGCCGGGGCGCTTCTCACGGCCGCGCCCGCCGCTCGGCACCTGCGTGCGAGATGGGCCGCGGGGGGCCCGGCCAAGCGGGGACACCGGGACCGCCCTCTCTGTGCTTCCCGTACTCCGCCCCCACCCCCCACCAGGCTCTTCCCACCGCCCCCCAACCTCCCGGCTCTGCAAAAACGTCACCTCCTCGGGGAGGCCTTCCCTGACCACCCCCGGGGCAGAAGCGCCCGCCCTGACCTCTCTGAGTCACATCCCATTTTAATATCTTCTTGACACTTAAAGACCCTGAAGTCATCTTATTTATCTTGTCCTGTCTGTTTTCTGTAAACAGTGTAAATCTGCTTCCGTTTTGTCCCCTGGTGTCCCCAGGGCTCAGAATCCTGGGCAGCGTCTAATAGGTGCTAAAGAAAAAACAACAGCTCGAACGTTACTCATAGCTTACTCATTCTGCTACTGTGGACCAGCCTCTATTTTGAGCTCCTTACGTCAATTCTCTCCTCCAGTCCTCGGAACAACCCTACCAGGTTGGGACTGGCATTATCCCCGTATTACAGAAGAGGAAGAGGAGGCCCAGAGTGGTTAAGACACTTGACTGAGGTCCCACAGCCAGGAAGCTGTGATGCTGAGATTGAAACCAGAGAGGCCTAAACCGCAAAGTCTGATTTTGCTCAACGGCTGAATGGGCCCTTAGGGCCTCAGGCGCTGTGCCCCAGCCCGTCTCTAGACCTACCTTCCCTGGTCCCACAGCCCCCACGGCCGGCCACAGGCCCAGCCCCGAGGCCCCACCGGCTGGGGCGGGCTGGGAACGCAGCAGCAGGTCTGGGTTTACTCTCCTCCCTGCTGTGGGTTTGCAGACATGCCTCCCAGGCCGCCCAGGTGGGACCAGCCATAAAAGCACGTCTGGGGGCCAGACTCCACTGGCCAGACAGCAGGGTCGACTGCCCAGGATCCTGAGCCCAGTCCCAGACCCAAGGAGAGACGGACAGACAGATGCTCCTCGGCCAGCTGACCGCTCTCCTGAGCCTGCTCGGCGGGGCCCAGCTGCTCACGGGCTCGGGGAGGCCCCCACCCCAGCCCCCCACCACCTCCAATCACACATGGGCTCAGGGCCTCGGGGCCGCGGCCTCCCCGGGGCCGTCATCCGCCCTCGGCAGCTGGAAGGCCTTCCTGGGCCTGCAGAAAGCCGGGCGCCTGGGGCCCCGCGCGCGGCAGCCTGGGCAGCAGGTGGCCACCGCCCTGTCTCTGCCGCTGGACCCGCAGGAAGTGGCCCGGGAGATGTGCAGGGCTGTGCCCTTCACGCAGGTGAGCGAGGGGGTGGAGAGCGTGGGCTGTGGTGCCAGACGGATCCGGGTCAGCCCTGCACCCTCACCCGCGTGTCTCTGATCCGCAGTTTCCTCTCTTATGAGATGGGGCACAAACCTCTACCCGGGGGACCGTGCAGTCGCCTCCATCCTGGTCCCCCAGCTTCTGCTACTGCCACCCTGTCCCCCCCCCCGCCCCCCCCGAGTCTATTTCAACATTCAGAGGCCAGAGGGAGCCTGTGAGCACCTGAGTCAGACCCTGTCCCTACTCTGCTCAGAACCCTCCATGGGTCCCACCTCACTCAGAGCAAAAATCTAAGTTCCTTCCACGGCCCACAGATTCCAGAGGATCTGCCGCTCACCTCCCTGCCCTCGACTCCTTCCACTCTCCTTGCCTACTTCACTCCTGCCACACCAGCCGCCTCACTCTTCCCCAGATGCACCAACGTGATATCCACCTGAGGGCCTTTGCACTGGCTGTGCCCTCTGCCTGTAGTACTCCCCCCTCCCCAGACATTCTATGGCTCCTTCTCTCACCTCCATTAGGTTTCTACTTGGATGTTGTTTAAAAAAAGCAGCACCTCCCACCCCGTTCCCCTTTCTCTACTTTATTTCTCGCTGTAGTACATGTCATCACCTAACATATCGAACTGATTTTGCGATTGCATTTATCGTCTGTCTCCCTCACTGGAACGTCTGCTCCAGGAGGGCAGGGATTTCCATGCCTTGTTCCCTCCTGTAGCCCCGTCCCCAGGCCCCGGAGCAGAGCCAGGCACACAGCAGTTAGTATTCAGTTAGTGTTTGTTGAATGAATGAATGAATGAGAGACAGTAGTGCCTGGCTCCTCAGGGCTCTGGGGCAGTCTGAATGAGACCGCCATGGGGAAGCCCTCTCGAAGCTGCATTCAGTCAGGGCTCCATGCAGGTTTTGGGAATTCATGCCACAGCTTGTTTCCAGCCCAGGCTTTGGAGCCAGGTGTACTGGAATTCAAATTCTGCCTTAACTGCTCATTTCTCTGTGACCCAGGGCAGGTGGCTTATCTTCTCTGAGCCTCAATTCCCACCTTTGCAACACGGAGTCAATAATAGTTGAGAATTCAGGCAAAACGTTTGGGACCATGCCTGGCAAGGGGCCCGTTCCCAAGGCCCCGGGCTTGTTATTCATTCAACAAGCCCTTGCTGAACTCAGGCGACTTCTGGCCACACAGCAGTGATTGCACAGTCCTGGACCAGCCGCCTTGCCCAGAATCCGGCCTCAGTTGCCCCATACAGCCACACACCCTGTGCCCAGCAGAGGGGACCCCTAGCTTGGGATCCAGCTTCGGACCCTCCCCAGAGCTGCAGCTGCGCTGTGGGGGAGCTCACAAAGATGCTCTGAGGGCGAGCAGCCCCTCAGCTGCCATGTGGCCCGAGGCCTCGGCCTCTCTGGGCCTCAGTCTCCTCGTCTGTAAATGGGGATGACAGTGGCCCCAGGCTCGGGCGCTGTGGGAGCAGTGAGTCCATCTAAGTGAGTGTCGGGGCGGCGTGGTCTTAGGGCTCCATGGGCGTCAGCTCGTGTGACAACGACCCCATGGGGCGGCGGCTGACAACAAATGGGAAGAGGGCCCTGTCCTCAGGCAGTTTCTATTCTGGGAGACTGGGGGGCGGGGGGGCAGTGGAAGAACAGCCACCACAGAGACCTACCTGGACACTGCCGTGAGCCCATGAGGAGGGGCGGGGGTGCGGGGGAGACCCCCAGGGCCAACTCTCCCAGGGGCGCCTCTGAGGAAGGCGGGATGGAGGGCATGAGCCCGGGGAAGGGTGGATGGAGGGGGGTCTGGGCGGAGGGCGCTGGGCCGGTGGGCCAGAGGTGGGCGCAAGTGAGTGCCTGGGAGGGACGGCGGGAGGCTGGGCTGGCTGGGGTGGCAGGAGGGGTGGAGGGGCCTGGGGGCACAGGGTTTAAGCAGAGAAGGGCTGTGACCTGGGGACCTGGGGATGAGTTGATAGACCCACTTAGCTGGAGGGGGTCGGGGAGGAACTAACATTTACTGAGCACCAACTGTGTGCCAGACAAGGGGCTAAGGGCTTTCTGTTTGATCCACCCCCCGCTGGGCTCCTGTAATACCACCCCTCCCTCCTGTCCCTCCTTAGAGGTGGCAGCAGCTTCCTGCTTGTAGCAGTCCCCAAGCCACCTCATCATGGTCCCTTGCTTGGGAACAGCAGCTCTTCCCGGTATTACTCCTCTGTTGAAAGGCCTAGAATGGTTTCTTTTTTTTCTGGTCGAACTTCGATGATTTTACAGGTGAGGAAACTGAGGCCCAGAGAGGCTGAGTAATTTGCTCCAAGTTACATAGCTAGCAGGCGGCAGAGTCAAGATTTGAACCTGGGTATCCATGCCTCTCGGGGCCGGGAAAGGGTGGAAGTGGCTGGGCATTCTGGCCATGCTGGCCCCAGACTCCACTGCCTTTGCCCCTCCCTGCCTCTGCTCAGGTGCTCTCCCGGCCGGGCTGCATAGCTGTCCGTCTCCGAAATCACCTCTGCTTTGGTCACTGCTCGTCAGTCTACGTCCCCGGCTCCGGGCCCACCCCTCGCGTCCTCTGCAACAGCTGTGTGCCCGCGCACAGGCGCAGGGTGCCCGTGGCCCTGTGGTGTTCGGCAGGCCGCCCGGCCTCCCAGCGGCGGGTGATGACGTCCACCGTGCTGGTCAAGGGCTGTCAGTGCAGCCCGAGGGTGTGAGCTGAGCATCTCAGACAGACACACAGATGCACGTGCCCTGGAGAGACGAAGAAAGCCACTGAGGAAGACGCCGACCCGGATGGTGCACACCGGGTCAAGAGACCAGACAGGTCCCCAGAGCCCTCGCCTGCTCCTGGGGATGCCCGGCAACCCCCACCCACGGGATGGGCCATTCGTAATCGCCGAGTGCACTTATTGAGCACTCACTGTTTGCCAGGCCCTGCTACAAGCGCTCAGTGTGTGCTAACTCTGTCTTCACAGCAGCCCAATGAGTCAAGGGTTAGGGCCACCCCATTTTACAGAGAAGGAAACTGAGGCCCCAGGATGCAGAGTCACTTGATCAGGGTCGCACCGTCTGTGGCCAAGGTGGCTTTTGAGACCACGGCCATGGGGCGCCTGCCTTCAGCCTCCAGACGGGGCCACTCCCAGCTGCAGGGGACAGATGGCTCCCCCAGACCAGAGACGCAGTGACAACCCCGTCCTAGGAACCCCAGGAAACCAAGGCAGGCAGATGTCTCTTCGGGGGGAACCTGCGTGCCCCTGCCTCCCCTCCTCCCCGCCAGGTGGCATTCCACAGGAACCATAAAGGTTGGCTGGGCCCAGTTGTGTGTGTGTGTGTCTGTCCCTCCATCTGGGGCTCTCTGGGAGTCATGGCCCTGGGCCGGAGCCTGGCAGCGGGCGCCCCCCTCCTCAGCTGGCTGAGGGGCTGCAGTGGACGAGGGCGGCCTGGCTTTGGGCAGCTGGAACCAGGGCCCCAGCAGATGGGCCCGTCTGGCACAGATGCAGGGACATGTGGCGCTGTTGGGGTTGCCTCCAAATGCCCCCCGGAGCGTGGGGCGGGGGCCGGTCGCCCCCCTCAGCCCTCTTCCTGCCTCAGGAAGGAAGGCCCCAGGTGAGGGGAGCAGGAGGAGGGACCCGAGGAAACAGATGGGCCAGCGGGCGTGGGAGCCCATGACCTCTGACCCCAACAGGCCTGCACAGCGGGGTGGGAACAGGCCGGGCAGGCGGCTCCCAAGGCTCTGCTCCAAGGGCCCTGGCGGTGGGGGGGAGGGGGGGTCAGGAGGGGCCCATGGGGGGCGCGCTATCCCTCCCCTCTCCAGGGTTCTGTGCCAAACCCCAGGCAGCGTCCGAATGGGCAGCTCAGCCCTGGCACTGCGGGCACCCTCTCTCTGGCAGGCTTGCAGTGCCTGCTCCCCCCTTCAGCTGTGCCCACCTCCTGCTAGCCGGGGAGCCAGCTGGGAACCTTGGTGCCAGGGGGGCCCCCGGAGTCCCTGCCCCCTCCCGGGCAGTGCCAGCCAGCCCCCCCTGCCCCCAGGCCCAGTAATGGGTGTAATGAGTGCTGGGGGAGCGGGGGAGGGGCGGGGATGCAGGTGCCACAGGCGCTGGCACGGGGGCCGCTAATCAGGTTTGCCAGCGCCATCTGTCACCACGCGAGCATCTGGGGCTCAAGGTGACCCTGTCACCCTCAGTTACAATTATGAGTTTGGCATCTGTATTAAAGCTTGCCAGCCGGCCAGGCGGGGGAGGGCTGGGGTGGGCACGGGGGTGCTCGGCGAGCCCTGTCCCGGGGGTCCCGTTCCCAGGGGCTGCGTGGCTGCCAAGGCATGGGCTTCTCCAGGCTTGGGGGAGTTCGCGTGTGTGAGTGTGTGTGTGTGTGTGTGCGTGCGCCAGCCTCCACAATTCTGCGAGCGTGTCTGGGTGCAGGGCTGGGATTCCGGGGTTTTTGTGTGTCTCTGGGTGTGGTGGCTGTGTGTCTGAGCTTGGTGGGAAGGCGGGGGGGGCCCTCTGAGATCCTGTGGGTACAAAGATGAGCATGTGCCCACGTGCTGGGAGAGGAGCTTATGGCAGTGCCGGGTGTCTCTGGGTGATGGCGTATGTGTGTGTGTGTGTGTGTGATTGCACATGTGTCTCTGAGGGTGTGTGGTGTTCTACACTCATGGTCACAGGCTGTATGTTCGGGCGTGTGTGTGTGTAAACGCACAGGGGCAGCAGCTGGGAGAGGCTGTGTGTGGTCACTGCAGGGCCACTCCTTGGCCTGTGACCACTGATGCCTGGGATCTGACATGGGGCGCTCGAGGAAGGCAGGGGGCTGGCTCTGAGGACGGCTCTGGGCTCAGGGTTCTTGGATCTGGATTCTGGGCCCTTGCTTCTAGATTCTAGGGGACAGAATCTTTGGACTCTGGGCACTTGGGCCTGGATTTTAGATTCCAGGTCCTGAGTTCTTGGATCTAGCTTCTAGATCTTGGTATCTGGGAGTCTCGATTCTGATTCCGGGATTTGGTTCTGGATCCTGGGATATGGAGCCCAGGCTCTGAATTCTGGGTCTGGGTTCTTGCTTCCCAGCCTTGGCTTCTGGTCTCCGGGCTCTGCGTCTGGGCCTGGGCCTGTCCTCTCTGCCCTTCTAGTCAGGCTTGGCCACTGGGCAGCCAGCCAGCCCTCACCTGATGGGTGCAGAGACCACACATGGCCACCAGGGGACACCCTTAGTCCAGATTTGGGCCAAGCTGACCCAGCCATGGAAGATTTAGGGGACCATCCTGGCCTGGTTTGACGCAGCCCTTTGAGCTGGAGGGGGACCCAGCTTCACCTCCCTCCACTCCTCTCCCAACCTGGGCTGGGGATTCATGTCAAACATAGAGAACTGGACCTGGCATCTGCACAGATCCCCAGTCTGGGCCAGGGGCCAGGGTGCCGCATCCTAGGGTCAGACGTGGGGTGGAAAGCGCGTGCATGTCCATGAAGGTGTCAGTGAGTGTAGGGAAATGTGTGCAGGTGTGAGCATGCACCATGTGTCTGGGGTGGCCACATATGACAATGTTCCCATGGAGTGTGAGCCTGTGTGATGGTGTGTGGCCATGTGTGACTGGGACCACGTGCCTGGCAGGGTCCTCCTGTGATGGTGCATCTATGGGGCTGTATCTGTAACTGTGAGTGTCTCTGTCATATGGGTGTGTCTGAGTGTGACCATGACTGAGTGTCACTGACTGTCTGTGGGTGTATCTGTAGGTGTCACCGTGTCTGTGAGGGTGTCTCGGAGTGTCTGGGGCAGTGACCCCAAAGACTGGGTCCTTGTGTCAATGGTGTCTTGTCAGCGGGTGTGTGGGTGTGTAGGACAGAGGTGTGTGTCAAGCCGAGGAGGTGTGTTATCCAAAGGGGAGTGGAAGGGGACAGGGTGGGTGGGACCAGAGACCCTGGGAGCACTCCCTTCCTGGGCGTCTCTGACCCTCCCTCCGGCAAGGTCTCTCTGTGGCTGGGTCTCCTCCCATGTCTCGGCGTCTCTGACTCTGTCTGGGGGTCCTGGTCCACTGCCTCGCCGGCTTTCCAGGCACAGCGCCGGGCACAGCGGGCTCCGTGCCTATTGGCTGGCTGGTCCCGCCCCCGTGTCCCACCCCAGCTCTTCATCTCGCATCTCACTCTCGGCTCTGCCTCTCCTTGGCCCTCTCCCTCTGCCCGTCCTTCCTCCTCTGTGCATTTCTCCCCATCTCTCGGTCTCTCCCATCTCTCCGTCTCTCCCTGTCTCTTGCCTCTCCCTGTCTCTCCGGCTCTCCCCGTCTCTGCCGGCCCGGGTGGATCCGGGCGGGTCCCGGACAGCCCGGCCCGGCCCGGCCCGGCGCGGCAGCGAACAATGCCCCATTCACGCGGCCCGCCGGCGCCATGGCAACGCGCCCGCCCCGCCCTCCCCGCGCGTGCCAAGAGGATGCCATGGTTACGTCAGGCGCGTGCCCGCCCCGCGCGCCGCCGCCCCGCGCGCCAGCGGGGCCCGGGCCAGCAGGGGGCGCCCGGCCGCGCCTCTGCGGGAGTCTGGCGGGGCCGCGCTCCTTCAGGGGCCTTGGGCTGTTCAGTGCCTCAGTTTCCCCTTCTGTAAAACGTCAGGGGCCGGCACAGTGAGATCGTAGTGTGTATGTGTGTGTGCCTGCGTGTGTGTGCGTGCGTGTGAAAGAGAGAGAGGGAAGGGTGGTGGCGAAGGTGCTCCTTGGGGGTGGTTGTGTGTCTGAGTTTGCACTGAGGGTCAGCGGAAATAAATGTGCGGATGTGTGGGTCCATGTTTGTACACTTGTCTGGACGTTTTGTGAGAAGTAGTTGCTGGTAGTTTGGAAGCATGTGTGTGTATTTTCATGCCGGTGTGTGATGGAGAGTGTCCGTGTCGGTTGGGTATAAAGGTGTATCTGTGTGTTTGCGTGTTTGTGGGCCTGGTGCGTGTGTGTACGATGGTGGATGACCATGTTGTTGAGTGTGGTTGTGAGTTTGTGTGACTATTGCTTGTGTGTCTGGGGTTCTTGTTCACGAACTCCTGTGTGCTTATATGTGGAATGGGGTGTGGGTCCCGAGGCCTGCCAGAGCCTGGCAGAGCCCCCCCTAACCTGGGGGGCTTCTGGCACAGAAGGGGGTGCCCAGCTGCCAGGGACCTGTGCTCCCCACAGGTTCAGGAGAGCCCCAGCTGATGAATATGCATGAGGGGGACTGGCACCCAGAGCTGACAGCTGCGCCACCATCAGGCCCCCCCCCTCAACTGCAGCAGGGAGCGGGGAGCCAGCGTGGACCTGTTTGTCTCCACAACCTGGGGACTGGGAGGTGTCCTGGTGACTATTGTGGGGACCATGTCAGCATGCCTGGCTGCTTGTTGGGAGGGCTCAGGGGCTGTCTCAATGTTGTGACAGGCACTGGGGCCGGCGACTGTCGTGGGACAGGATGTCTTTGCAACCATGTCCCTGTCTGGGCACTGGGCTGTGGGCGTCGTGTGGCAGTGTGAGATGTGTGCCTGTCACCTGCAGCAGTGAGGCCCTGAGCATGTGTCATCAGGCTGTCTTTGAACAGTTCTACAGTGGCCGGCACCTGCTGGCTGCCTGCTCTGTGACACTGTGACAGTGAAAGTGCATTGTTCTGTTATTGGAATGACTAGTTTGGGTCAAACACGGATGGAGGGCCAGCTGTGGGCCACACCCTGGGGAGGCAGCGATCAGATCTCCTCCCCCTCCCTGTGACCAACTGGGGCAGTGACTCTGAGTGGCCACGTGGCTAGCACAGCTGCAGGGCACCAGGACAGACTATGTCAGTGTGCCTCTGCTGGTCAGTGTGACGCTGACGTTGTGTGAGGGTCACCATGTCAGGGTAACTGTGAGGACCTGACGGACAGAGTGGCTGAAGGCGAGGGTGACCAGACTCGTTGAGGGTGTGATGGTGTGAGGGTGTATTTCTGTTTG